TCATATCCAATGGTACCTACAGTATATTCAGTGTTTCCATATTATCCTAGTGGTACCTGTATTCAATTTTTACATCCAATGGTACCTGTTTGCAGTCTATATCCACACTGGTGCCTGTATCCCCTCACATGTCCACCAATGGTAACCTGTAACCTTTGTCTTATACTTCAAAGGTAATCTATTACAGAAACTGAAGAATTTGGCCACGTTTCGACGCTGCTGTAACGACGAAACTACAAGAACTACAGTACTGAAATTCTGCCCTGCCCCTCTTGTACCCCCCCCCCTCCCCCCTCCACCGCCCCTCGTGAAGTTTCAAAGTTTCCCAAGATTTTTCATTTCGAATTCTGAACTATCTCTTGGTGTTCAAACTTTTCATTCTCTCTCTCTCTTTCTCTCTCTCTTTTTCTGTCTCACTAAAGGTTCAGTTTTAAAGTTTCTCAGTACTAAAGGTTCAGTTTTAAAAGTTTCTCAGTTTCAGTAAATATAAGTCTCGTACTGTTTCATCTTCCTCCAGCTTACCTCACCATGGTAGAGCGGTGTAGAACTTCTCTCAACACACATACAAAGGACAACCAAAGCTTTAATAAACACATAACGTAACACAGACCTCCATTAGTTATCACCACAAGGGGAGTAAAACCTGTAGGGTCGTCAAGCTTAATTTTCACCCCGTCAAGCTTAAAGTTTTGAGGACTACTTAAAAAATATCGTCCGCCACGTTATGAACTGAATCGGTAAACTAGTGAGTGTTTATATTATGTATTTCACGGGTTCATTACCGCTGAAAGTAGATTATTACATGTACTTAGAGGGACATGTGAGTATCTTATTTTGTTGGCTTGTCTGTCAGAATTGTCAAGATAAATACTTAGGTTTTGTGCAGTGTGGTAACCCTGTGTTTGTTTACATTCAACAGAAGGAAACTCGCAATAGTAAACATATTATGGAATCCAATTAAGACAATATTAAAACAAATATATCAATGATAATGATTTGTGGAATTATATGATGAGCCCCTGTAAACGCACTAGTGAAGGGGACTACATTTTCTTAATTTATTCATTCATTATACATTTACAATAATCTATTTATTGTGGTGGTTTGTGGTTATTCATGATTTGGCAGTAGTGAAGATCTGACTATAATAATGAGGTTAAATTTTACGTTTTTTTTTGTGAAGACTTACTGTACAGGGTGTTTGAAGTCCCTGTGCACCTGCCGTTAATTAACAATTCCTGTAAAGATACTGTATTTACCTTGTTCTAATCTAACCTAACCATTGTGGATTGGGGGCCTCTATATATTGGGGCTTTTATGAATTGGAACCTCAATGGATCAAGGGCTTTATGGATTAGGGGCTTTATAGATTGGAACCTCAATGGATCAAGGGCTTTATGGATTAGGGGCTTTATAGATTGGAACCTTAATGATTGGAACCCACGGGATTGGAAACCTTAATGATTGAAATTTACTGACCTGCAGCCTCTGGTAAACACAAACACGGAAGGTCCTAAACTGTTGCCTAACATAATGGTCGACTCAGGAGCCATAACTGTCCGGTCATCATAGGTGGTTATCATGTCGTTATCCCAAGGTAATACAGATTCTAAGATACAGTGTGTGTGTATTTATCTCTCGTGTGTCTTGGCTCAGAGATGTGGTTTTTTTTTTTCGTTAGGTATTGAGAAAATGGCTCGTCTGAAGGTTAACACAGCCGAACTTACTTTACCTTACCTTACCTTACCTTACCTTACCTTACCTTACCTTACCTTACCTTACCTTACCTTACCTTACCTTACCTTACCTTACCTTACCTTACCTTACCTTACCTTACCTTACCTTATCTTACCTTCTAACCGGTGTATTTAGAACGATGTGAACGAGAGATAGTTACCAGACGAACACACAATGCTGTAAGTGGTCCTGCTCGTGGTATTTTCTAACATAGGTCATCTTCGGGACATGTTAGTAAAGTAATGTTGCCCTATGTACCTCGCTCGTCTCCAACATAATGTTTCAATGGACACATTTTGGTGACTGTGTTGTGATGATTGATGGAGTGTAGTGTATACTTTTAGGTGCGTATTACTTTGGTGCCTTGATCGGGTTATTTTACACACACACACACACACACACACACACACACACACATTACTATATATACCCATCTTATTTTCACTATTTACCTTAAGCAATCCGTACACCATTCCTGCACGTAGTTTCCTCACGCTGCACCTCTCTAAAAGTCATTACAGAATAAATAATATACATACAGGTAGAAAGACTCGTAACCATTAAACAAATTACTGTCATTAATCTTGAATAACATTAGCATAATTACTGTCACTATCTGGTTGTATTGAGGCTATAACCCCCTTGAGTACGAGATGACTTTATCCTCAGAGTACGATGACTTAACCCCTTGAGTACGATGACTTAACCCCTTGAGTACGATGACTTAACCCCTTGAGTACGATGAATTCCGCCCTTGCTATGATAATCAACCCTCGAGTACGATGACTTTAACTCCTGATTATGATGAGATTCAACTCCCTTGAGTACGATGACTTAACCCCTTGAGTACGATGACTTAACCCCTTGAGTACGATGACTTAACCCCTTGAGTACGATGACTTAACCCTTTGAGTACGATGACTTAACCCCCTGAGTACAATGACTTAACCCTTTGAGTAAAATTACTTTTTATCCCTTGAGTATGATTAAATTAAGTAATCGTACTCAAGGGATTAAGTCATCATACTGACAGGATTGTCATCATACTCAAAGGGGTTAAGTCATCGTACTTAAAGGGTTGTCATCATACTCAAAGGGGTTAAGTCATCGTACTTAAAGGGTTTTCATCATATTCAAAGGGTTGTCGTCATACTCAAAGGGGTTAAGTCATTGTACTCGGGGGGTTAAGTCATCATACTCAAGGGGTTAAGTCATCATACTGTTATTAAAAGCTTCAGAACTCAGACTGTAACATAACTTCAGGTAGACATAACTCTGAAGCATAAATTTTTACTTTAGGTTTGTACGTTAAAAATAACTTGAGTTAATTGGGATTAAATAAATGTGTGTTTAACGATAATTAAGATAACTAAAGATTAATTAGATTTTGTAAAGTAATTTGAGTATGATTATTATATTATGCGTTTGGAGTTTGCTTCTGTTTAAAGATAATTGATAAGTTTTGAAGGTAAGTTTTTCGTTGGTAAATGTAATTGTTATTAAAAGTTAATATCCAGGTATTATTTTTTTTCTCTGTCATCTCACTAACTCCTCCTTCTTGTCCCTTACCTATTACCAATTTCCTCTACCACAAAGTTTGCACAGGGGAACATACTGTCCAATTAGCCCAATTACATCCTCCAATTTATCCTTTTCAGATCTGGAAACAATATGACGCTGACCATAATGGTTTTATTGACAGTAATGAACTGAAGGTAAGGTTCCTCCCTGGCACAGATTGGGAAGGAGAACTAAACTTGTGTTTTGTTTCACTAATTTCTGTGTCTCCCGTCAATGTGTTCCTCTCGTCTCGTTCTTACAGATATGGAAAGCTTACGACAAAGACAACAGTGGTTACATAGAGGCTGACGAGCTCAAGGTATAGTGATAGATACACGGGTCACACCTCCTCTAGCGCAGTCTATAGTTTACCTGTTTCTCTCTCCTATACTGTGTACTCTTGGGCGCTGGTAGTTGTTGAGTCTTTTTCCTTTACACTATTACACCAACGAGTACGACCCCACCACTATCACAACCACCACTATCACCACTAACACCACCACTACTACTATCATCACCACTGCTATCACCACCACTACTACTATCACCACTACTACTACTACTATCACCACCACTGCTACTATATCATCACTGCTATCACCACCACTACTACTATCCCACTATACTACTACTATCACACTGCTATCACCACCACTACTACTATCACCACCACTGTATCACACCACTACCATCACCACTGCTATCACCACCACTACCCCACCACCATCACCACTACTACTATCACCACCACTATCACCACCCACTATCACTACCACTACTATCTACCACCACCACCTATCACCACCACCTATCACCACCACCACCACTATCACCCTACTATCACCACCACTACTATCACCACTACTACTATCATATACTACTATCATCACCACTGCTATCACCACCACCACCACTATCACCATCACTACTATCCACCACCACCACTACTATCATCACCACTACTATCACCACCACCACACTATCCTCCATCCCACCACTATCACCACACCACTATCCTCCATCACCACTATCACCACTACTATCACCACCACCACTATCACCACTTTTCCCCGTGATTTTGAGACCTCGGTAATCTTGCTCCCGTTTGGGGTTCAACGTCTGCAAATTGCCGTCAGGGGCGAACCTGTGTAGGGAGATGGCGCCTGGTTATCTTGGCTCACCAGGAAGTTATCGCCCTTTGTTATCTTTTATTGTTTTCAGTGCACCATGACCAAACATTTATTCTTTATGGCCTAGTTTTCCCTTTTTATTGCGTTTTAAAGCAAATTCAGGATTATTATATTATCTAATTTTATCATTTTTATCACGTCTTCTTGCTAATTCAAGTTATTTATTGCCCATGTCTTTATCCATCTTTTATCGCGTCCTCCATGCAGATTCAAGTTCTTAATCCAGTTCTAATATTTTATATGCCTTGCACGTGACCGAGGTAATGTGTGGTCGGTACTACTAAGACTACCACAGACACAATTCCCTGCACTGTATTTTTTTACTGACTAATTTTTGATATTGTAATCCTTCTGGGCGGCTGATGCATTACACACTCTTCTAACAGTGATGGACAGTACAGTCATTCAGACCCTCGGAATGAACATGATTGATGAAGACTTGTACTTCTCTTAGTATGGTGGCGATTTCTCAAGGATGACTAATGATATTGAGTCGTTGCTTATAGACCCCCACCTGATCATTAGGTTTGGCTCCAATTGTGACTGTGGGTATATTGAGACGGGCCCATTTGATTAGTCACTGTTTTCATTTATACGTGACAACACTCTTTGGAATGATGAAGGTATACAGTAGATCCAGGTCACTCAGAGTAACAGTTTGTCACACGGGTCTTGAGTTCTGGTAACCTCTAATTTAAGCTAATCATTAGGCACGGGGGCAGACCTATTGACCTTTATTTATGGCTCCCTCAACTAATTTTTAGGTTTGGTTAGAGTCTATTAGGACTGGGGTCTATTTGACACGTAATCGATTGTTAGGATACTGTGAACTGTTACTGTAGGATTCTAGGATTTGGGGCGTGTCATCGTATACTTCCTCCTATCTTTACAGTATATATAACTGGACACCAAACTTGTCAGACGTATTTAACCGGTATTCGTATAATTAAAATATCAGTTATATAATTCTTAGACAGTGAATTATAGTTATTTTATTTACCCTTGGAGACATTCACTGATAAACAAATAGTCATATAGATTAGATCAAATAATATATCTTTATTTTTTTCTGCAAGAGATTATGAACACAATTTATGCGGCCTTTAATTTATAAATATAGTTCTTCAAGTCTCGTCCGAAATATGAAAAAGGATTTTCTTCGTTTAAAACTTTATAAATTACAGCAAAAATCTTAACTACTGTAGATACAAACGCCATCAATATATTACAACTGTGGAAAATAATGACGATGGTGAAGCGATTTAAATTTGATTGTTAGTTTATATTTTCAAGTTGATAACACTAGCAATTTGCAGGCACGAGACACCAGAAACAGCCAGCACCATCCACCCACCACACCCACCGCACCCACCCACCGCACCCACCACACCACCCACCACACCCACCCACCACATCCATAGCTACTATAACACTGCTTTTTAAAAGGATTGGGGCGATATAATATTTCTGGCTAAAAACAACCATTAATAATTATAAATTAGCGTGAATGATTGAAAAATAAAATAATTTGATGCATAAATACGAATAACTTAAGATATAATTTGATGTATAAAGGATTATATATAAAAATTAAGGATAATATAAACAATAAATTAACATGAATGAATATTAATGAAAAAAAATTAAATAACACGTATAAATTAATAATGTAATCGGGAAAAATAAACTGAAAAATGGATAAAATAATCGGTCCGTTTCTGAGTGTTTTTAGATATTTCTGATAAGTCAACACTATGATGAAAAGGATTCAATCATTAATTAACTTTTTAATATTCTTTTAAGGCTTAACAAATTAACATAACATCGACGCGAATTGTTTTAAAAAATAGTTTACAGGTATTTATATTATTTATACCCTATAAATTGTTCATTTTTGTCATCACCAATATATTATAATATGCCAACACCTCACCACCACTAACTGTTGCCAGCACAACACCCCAGGTAGCAGACACTGTAGACTGCTTTACATGTCAGTAGAGTTTGTATTTTAGTTGGTAACATTTGCTCGTAGAGTATGTGAAGGTGTCGTTTATGATGATACTGTCAGTAGTATTCAATGATGCCTTAATTGGTAACATTGCTTTAGAGTGTGCAGGTGTCGTAATTGGTAACACTGTCATTAATGATCAGTGATGCCTTAGGTGGTAACATTGCTAGTAGAGAGTAAGGATGCCTTATATGGTAACACTGCCTGTAGTGGTCAATGATACCGTAGGTGGTAATATTGCTAGTAGAGAGTAAAGGTGCCTTATGTGGTAACACTGTCAGTAGAATACAACCGGCAAACTTTTGGATAACGTTACCTTAAATGGCAACACTGCTATAGTTGAGACTCAGCATCTGGTAATACTGTCAGTAGCAGGTGAAACTCACATAGATGGTAACATTATTTAACTGAATTTCAAATGGCCGTGTAATGGAAGATGGAGGTGCCATAGTTGGTAACACTGCTGGTTAAGTATATGGTGTGTGTGTTGGTACCACTGACATAGAGCAGGGAGAAGCGTCAGCCTCTGTAATAGTGTGAGTCAGAGAGTTTGTGACGTCATACAGCGGCTGGTGTGAGAGTTACCCTCCCCAGCCTCTATAACTGCGAGAATGTAAACAAACTAGCCCTTGTGTTTGGGGGGTCTGTAGAAATACTAGTGTTTATGTTTGTCTGTGCACACTAGCGGCTGGGTGAGAGTTATCCTTCACAATAACTACGGAAATATCAACAAAGTTTCCTCCTTGGGAACATATAGGCTGTAATGGCGGCTGTGTTTCCTACCTTTGACCCAAGCTGCGGTTCTCCCTGTAGTGTATGTAGTACAGTAGCAGGTGGAAAGACTGAAGCAGTTTAGTACATTATAGATGTGTAATAATTAATAGATCAGTAGACTTTGTTTGGTAAGTAGCTGATTAACTTGTAACCATTGTTGATGTTTAGTGATAATGATTAACGTGTAATATTTTATAAGGATTTTAAGTATATATATTGCATGCGTTTCAGAGGGCTAATGTGTACTAATAACACGTTGAACACAGTATGACTTGTTGAGATTACGACATTTTCACTTTCCTAACTTCTTTAACCTAATCAAACCTAACTATACTAGGAATCATGTAGTTACGGTAGAGATTCAAATAAGCCTCAGTACTAATAGGCCTCGACCTGGTCAAGCAATTAGAATTATAGTAATTGGTGGTTGCTCGGACGGGAGGGCAGTTATGTTGCCACGTTCACTCAAAGCTTTCATAGTTGTACAGTACATGGCGTCTTGATCTGCCCAGTGTTTTTTCCAGTTGTCTCTCAGGGAAGTCAGGTCACTTAATTAACGTAACTGTATTAATCTGGTCGTGTGGTTGTTGGACTCATTTACCAATACGAAAATATGAGAAATAACAAATCGTTTGAAACAGGAAACTTGACAGCTATCCAAGAGTTCAGTCGATGTAACGATCCTATTAATATGCCTAAAAGTAAAATGTTAATTGCCGTTAGAATCAGTCAATTTTCCCCTTTAGCTTGTGTCAGTGATTAGTTTCTCGTGTATAAACGACAGCAGACATGGCAGCACAGTTATAAACGACAGCAGACATGGCAGCACAGTTATAAACGACAGCAGACATGGCAGCACAGTTATAAACGACAGCAGACATGGCAGCACAGTTATAAACGACAGCAGACATGGCAGCACAGTTATAAACGACAGCAGACGCAGCACAGTTATAAACGACAGCAGACATGGCAGCACAGTTATAAACGACAGCAGACATGGCAGCACAGTTATAAACGACAGCAGACGCAGCACAGTTATAAACGACAGCAGACATGGCAGCACAGTTATAAACGACAGCAGACATGGCAGCACAGTTATAAACGACAGCAGACATGGCAGCACAGTTATAAACGACAGCAGACATGGCAGTTCAGTTCCATTAATTTACCTGATAACTTATTTCCAGTCACCGGAAGATCAACAAACTGGTGAATTATCCGGTATAGCGATGTTCATTAATTGGCTCATCCAAAGAGTTGTTGGATGATCCCATGTTAATCGAGTGGAAGTTGTGAAATAGTGTGTCATCCGAACGGCTCAGTGATGCGTATTGAGGGGGCGGGTGGTGATACTGCTCTAACACACTGCTCTAACACTACTGTACATACTGCTCTAACACTGCTCTAACACACACTGCTCTAACACACACTGCTCTAACACACACTGCTCTAACACACTGCTCCTAACACACACTGCTCTAACACACTGCTCTAACACACACCACACACTGTCTAACACACACTGCTCCTAACACACACTGCTCTAACACACACCTGCTCTAACACACACACTGCTCTAACACACATATCCCTAACACACACTGCTCTAACACACTGCTCTAACACACACTGTACCCACACACTGCTCTAACACACTGCCCTAACACACACACTGCTCTAACACACACTGCTCTAACACACACTGTCTAACTACCACACTGCTCTAACACCTGCTCCTAACACACACTGCTCTCCTAACACACACTGCTCCTAACACACTGCTCTAACACACTGCTCTAACACACACACTGTCTAACACACACTGTCTAACACACACTGCTCTCTCCTGCCCTAACACACACTGCTCTAACACACACTGCCCCTAACACACACTGCCCTAACACACACTGTCTAACACTGCTCACTTGCTCTAACACCTTCTAACACACACTGCTCTAACACACTGTCTAACACACTGCCCTAACACACACTGCTCTAACACTGCCCTAACACTGCTCTAACACACACTGCTCTAACACACACTGCCCTAACACACACTGCTCTAACACTCTAACACACACTGCTCTAACACACACTGCTCTAACACACACTGCTCTAACACCCTGTTCTAACACCCTGTTCTAACATAATGCTCTAACAAACAGAGTATTAGAAGTGTAAGTAATAAGAGTGTGGAGGTCATATTGCAATTATATCTTGCTGTAGTCAGGCCGCACCTCGATTATGCTGTTCAGTTCAAGGTTGTATTGGTGAATAGTCAATTGGGTACTAGTATTACTAGGCCCCAAACTAATTAAACATTGGGGCCTAGTCTAAATGGGCCCCAGTTTTTGCTATTATTTTTTGTTTTCTATTTTTTGCGATAAATATTTTTTCTTTCTATTTTTGCGATACGTTTTATTAATGAATGAAACACTAGCGCCATCTACCTAACCTGTATTTGTGTATGTGAGTAATTCCCTTTTTTTATTTTTCTGATTAAATGTTTTTTTATTGTTATTTGCTGTATGTTAACCGCAACTTTGTATACATATTCACTGATTATTTTAAACCGTAACCTTCCACATATTTTCAGTTAATATTTCAAGCATAGTACAGTGCATATTTTCGATGTATTTTTCAACTAATTTTCCTGCATAAATTCAACGAGCCTTTGGGGATGAAAAGTCTGTGTTCTTTGAGGTAACTTGTACATGGCCGCATTAGGGAACTCGAAATCATTATTTCCTTAAGAGTTGTATATATTTTTCCTGAATCAGCTCCAGGATATAACTGAAACTCGTCTTGGAGAGAAAATAGACATTCTTTTTTGGGGGAAGACTTGGCCGAGAGACCCCGGGATATGTTTTAAGGATGTTGTGTGATGCTCCTTTGTTTCCACCTGAATATAAATGACAGGAATTTCTTCAATCCGTTTATGAGATTCAGAACGCGAGTAAAGGTCTATAAATATGTAAACACGAATATAGGCGATTGGAATATCTAAACGTATAATGAAGTTAACATGAATATAGACGACTGAAATATCTAAACGTATAATGAAGTTAACATGAATATAGATGACTGGAATATCTAAACGTACAATGAAGTTAACATGAATATAGATGACTGGAATATCTAAACGTATAATGAAGTTAACATGAATATAGATGACTGAAATATCTAAACGTATAATGAAGTTAACATGAATATAGATGACTGGAATATGTAAACTTATAATGAAGTTAACATGAATATAGACTGAAATATCTAAACGTATAATGAAGTTAACATGAATATAGATGACTGAAATATCTAAACGTATAATGAAGTTAACATGAATATAGATGACTGAAATATCTAAACGTATAATGAAGTTAACATGAATATAGATGACTGGAATCACTCAACTTTCATAAAGGGATATTTCTAAAGCATTTATATTTATGCACGTATTGTAAAATGTTTGCTTGGTATTAATAATTTCCTGAGAATTTAGCATGGATGAATCGCTTATTTATTACCACAGTATAAGAGCTGTAGGTAGTGCCTCATGTACACCACCAAATATACCACGTAATTATTTTTTTAATTAATTGTTAAAATGTACATGTGTTTGTCATGTTACTGAAGTGGTTTATTTAACTGTAGGCTATACTAGAATAGTTGTTATATAAAGTAACAAATTTATTTCTTCGTCAGTCAGTTAGTCAAGTAGAGTCAGGTTAATGCATCACACTCAATAAAATCCGAGAATTGGATCAAGTTATATGTTTTAAGATTGAGAAATTCATCTACAGAATCCCCTTTTGTTAATCCTTCTGCTAAATCCGACTCTATGGTTGATTTTTTCTTATTAAATGATTAAAAAATTTCCCCATTCGTTCACTACCGTTAATCCAATCACGTCAAAGAAGAATTTATTTTTGAAATTTGAAAATAATCCCCATTAATTCCCTTCGTTAATCCTTTCAATAAATCCTGGAATTCGATTTATGTATTAAATAAAAAACAATAACTATGGAGTCTACAAATAAACCCTGTAAATCCAGAATGTTTCACTAATTAGCATAGATGAATCTCCACCGTTAATCCTGCCATTAATCCCATAACCTGTATATTAAATCTCCGTTAATCTCCAGAATTTCCTACGGGACTTACTGAAGGAAGCCAAGAAGGATCAGGACGTCTCCGAGGACAAACTTATTGAGTATACTGACACCATGGTGAGTCTCTCTCTCTCTCTCTCTCTCTCTCTCTCTCTCTCTCTCTCTAATATATTACATTATGGTGTTGTTTTAGTATTAATAAGACAATATAGGTGTGGAGCTATACACAGTTTAACACTGTTTGCTATATTATGTCAAGTTTACTAGCCATATTAGTATTTTGGGAGGATTATATTTTCAGCTATATTGGAATTTTCACCAAACTCTTTATCTTATTAACTATAATTATTTTCTTTTCCTCTTTTTTACATTTTTACTCATAAATTATAAAGATTATATAGCCTATAATATAACCAATCTTTTTATCCAATTACATTTCATATATATATACAGTAAACATTTTCACACACACACACACACACACACACACACACACACACACACATATATCTCATACGTAATGTATATCTTCTGCAATATATTCAACAACATTAACATTGCAGCTTCAAGTCTTCGATCAAAACAAGGATGGAAAACTGCAGCTCTCAGAAATGGCTAAGTAAGTGTCCTCCTTCGACCTGACTTACTTCAAAAGGAAGTTTATGATAAGGAAGCCAAAATCTGACTTAGGTTGTGTACACTCGTAAGGTGGTTGGTTGACTGTCTGGATTGGCTGACTGGCTAACTGGTCCCCACTCCTAAACTTATATTCCCTAGAAAGACGAAGAGTGCGGGGAGATATGATAGGGTATTTAAGTGGGTGAAAGGAATCAATAAAGGGGATATAGATAAAGTTTAGGTTTAGAAGGGAGATAGGAAGGAACTAGTTCACAAATAGGGTGGTGGACAGGTGGAACAAGCTTAGCAACTTTGTAGTAAGTGCTGGAACGCTGGAAAGATTTCAAGGAGGCTAGATAGATTCATGGGTGATAGAGAGTGGTAGTAACTCTCGACAGGAGCTGCCCATGCACAGGCCAACCAACCTGTGCAGACTCCATATTTCTTATGTTCTTATGTACTCTCACCCCCTCTCAGTCACCTGTTACTCCTCACCCCCCTCAGTCACCTGTTACTCCTCACCCCTCTCAGTCACCTGTTACTCTCCACCCCCCCCCTCACTCACCTGTTACTCCTCACCCCCCTCAGTCACCTGTTACTCCTCACCCCCCTCCTCACTCACCTGTTACTCCTCACCCCCCCTCAGTCACCTGTACTCCTCACCCCTCACTCACCTGTTACTCCTCACCCCCTCAGTCACCTGTTACTCCTCACCCCTCTCACTCACCTGTCTCCTCACCCCCCCCCTCAGTCACCTGTTACTCCTCCACCCCTCTCCTCACCTGTTACTCCTCCACCCCCCCCTCAGTCACCTGTTACTCCTCACCCCTCTCACTCACCTGTTACTCCTCACCCCCTCACTCACCTGTTACTCCTCCACCCCCCCCTCAGTCACCTGTTACTCCTCACCCCCCTCTCCTCACCTGTTACTCCTCACCCCCTCTCACTCACCTGTTACTCCTCACCCCCTCAGTCACCTGTTACTCCTCACCCCCTCTCACTCACCTGTTACTCACTAATGCCCGACTTACTTCCAGATTGTTGCCAGTCAAAGAGAATTTCCTGTGCCGTTCGGTGTTCAAGGTGAGCCAGGTAATACAAAAACATTTTTATCTCGTTGGCAACAGTGTCACGCCTGGTGGTCCGTGGTAGACGTTTGTTGGTACTACTGTGTTCTCCTCCTACGAGCTCCTGTAGCATGGCCCATTGAGAATGTGGAATGCCCCGATCATTACTACACACTGGATTCTGATTGGGTGAAATGCCGATGGATTCTGATTGGGTGAAATCAGATGGTTTTTGATTGGGTGAAATGCCGATGGATTCTGATTGGGTGAAATCAGACGGGTTTTGATTGGGTGAAATGCCGATGGAAGGGGTACTTTTGTCTTTTCTTTCTTTTGGGGGGCGGAAGAATGCGAATGTGGGGACCAAGTCGTTGAAAGGAACCTTATTCCGTTGGGTGAAATATCAACAGAATTTGTATATTTTGGGCCGTATAATGATGGTAGCCGGAGGGAATATGTCGTATTTACTTTTGTCTAGTGATGAAAAATGTATAATATATCTGACTTTTTTGTGTGTGTTATTAGTTTGGATTTTTAATTGATAGCGTGAAGTGTCGTCAGAAGCTGTGGGTATTTACAACAGTAGAGAAAGTTTCAAGCTTATTTGTGTCCACCAATTGGAATCTTTCTGAAACTTTTGGAGTATAAGTTTTTTATTCCAATATACAAGGTGTAATATAAATAAGAGGAAATAATTATACAGTTTGTTCTCAGTAATGTTTTGGTGAAGCAAGTGAGAGGTTACACAGTGTTCTCGGGGCTACATTAGAGAATACGTCCACTAGTTTACTTCAGTGTTGGTATGTGTTGCTCTACTCTCATCAGACGTGGTAGGTGCTAACTCCTCCATACAGTCCTCAGTTCTGATATGTACTGCACCCTAGCAGCGTTCGTATCTCTACAGACGTAAGAATTACCAGTTAACTTTAGCTTCAATACACATAACATATTTCCAACGAGTTCCTGCCCTTCTCTAGTAGTGTTATTTTCCCGTTACGTTAAGCCATAATTACCCTAGTGAAATAAAACGTAGCATAATTTACACTTACGGTTCTTAATTCAACATGACAGCCATCAGATGCAACATGGGAAATACTGGTGATTATGAGACACTCTTGACATAGGATCAGGTAGTCTAATAAACGTTGGATTATAATGCAAAACTGATGATGAATACTTTAGTAATAATTAGGGTTTGTAAACAGGTCTACTGGTCGACATCTCTCCCTCTGTTGTTGGTGAAGACATCTGTTTTATCCTTGTGGCTTTGGGGGATATACTGTAGAGATCAGTATGTGTCTGTCTGTCTGGGTATAAATGATGTGTGTGTGTGTGTGTGTGTGTGTGTGTGTGTGTGTGTGTGTGTGTGTGTGTGTGTGTGTGTGTGTGTGTGTGTTGTTACTTCATCCTATTCGTCTTTCTGCTTTGTCTTCCTCTTCGTCACATTTTCATTTTTTTACAGTATTGACCTTTTGTAATTACCTCGTGTGTCAGGGAGCCTTAACATCTTAACTGGTACTAAGGTAGTTTAATGGTTTTGTGTTTTTCTGGCAAGACTTGTAAATTTTGGCTTGGCTATTTTCTTTTGTTTTTCTGGCCAGACTTGTAAATTTTGGCTATTTTATTGTGTTTTTCTAGCCAGACTTGTAAATTTTGGCTATTTTCTTGCGTTTTTCTAGCCAGACTTGTAAATTTTGGCTATTTTATTGTGTTTTTCTAGCCAGACTTGTAAATTTTGTCTATTTTCTCGAGTCTAATGGATTTGTTTTGCTAGTCAGAACTTAACTATTTCCGTGTGTGGTGCATTGAATACCTTTCAATTATGTCTTCAAATAACATGACCATTTTCTTTCTAATATATCATATAATATATTACTATAGTATCATATATTGTGGTTTTTAGTCTTTGTCTCAACATTTAATGATTTATATGTGTCAAGTAAATAATTTTATAGTGTAATATTAGAATTAATCTGAAGTCATTGTTTGTATTTTATATTATTTATCTATTAAATTAGTATATTGATTTTTCAACACTATAGGTGTAAGGTTTTTGCTGTTGTAGAAAAGCTTAGTAGAATTCAAGCTTTTAAGTGGTGGATTCACCCCCGACTCATTAAGCTAGATTCTTTGCTGATGTTTACCATAATAACAACGATATAAACAAACTATTTTTAATATTATTACTTTTTAAACTATATTCACGTAGAAATGTTCTTATGAGAGTTTGTGATAGATGTATTTATAATTACGACCCCTCCCCCCATCTCCCTCCCATATCCCTTAAAAATGTCTGAATCTTCCACCGTGTTTATCATGACTAGTGCTGGTACAGTATACAGCTTGTGCAGTACAGTATAGGCGGCATGACTATTGCTACTGCTCAATCCACATTCCCTGCTTCTGCTTTCGTTTCCCAGAACAGCCTTGAACAGCGAGAGTAAGAGGTTGTTTGGGTAGTTTGGTGCAGGCAAGAGGTTGTTTGGGTAGTTTGGTGGGTATGAGGTTGTTTGGGTAGTTAGGTGCAGGTAAGAGGTTGTTTGGGTAGTTTGGTGCAGGTAAGAGCGTGTTTGGGTAGTTTGGTGTAGGTAACAGGTAGTTTGGTGCAGGTATGAGGTTGTTTGGTTAGTTTGGTGCAGGCAAGAGGTTGTTTGGGTAGTTTGGTGGGTATGAGGTTGTTTGGGTAGTTTGGTGCAGGTAAGAGCTTGTTTGGGTAGTTTGGTGCAGGTAACAGGTTGTTTGGGTAGTTTGGTGCAGGTAACAGGTTGTTTGGGTAGTTTGGTGCAGGTAAGAGCTTGTTTGGGTAGTTTGGTGCAGGTAACAGGTAGTTTGGTGCATAACATGTTTAAAAGCACATTTGGCTGAGAAGTTTTCAGGTCTGGTCGACATAATTTACAACAGAGGTGAGAGGATCATTTTGGTAGGTGTTGGACGTAGCTTCTCAACCCTGTAATAGGCCAGGTTAGGTCAGCTCCGAATCACAAATGGTTGATTAATATGGGTGTTAGTCCAGTAGGTGCCAATCTAACTTAACTTGGCCATTAGGATTGAGGCTGACTCTTAATGAGGTCCAGTGTAAATAGACCCCAGACCTAATGGGTCATAATTCTAATTGGTCAAGTAAGGTTGGAATGTAGCCTATTAGAACTGAGCACTAGATTCACTGTGAATGGATCTTAGTATTAATTGGTTAGGTTAGGGCCAGGGGGTACGGTGCCATACTGTTGGTTACCTTTGTTTTAATAAATCATATACTGCACAAACACAAACTTTCTGGCTGATACTAGTACAGTACAATACAGTAGTTGAGTAATTTTTTGTAATTATTATACATCTACTTTTCAGTGACTCTTTAGGAAATACTGTAGCCAGAAGACATGTAAACCCCTATATCAATTCCCTTGTCCCATACATACCACATTCACATGACAAGAGCTGTCCACCCGTGACCTATACACTGTGAAGGCCACATCAGTTAGTCTCAGTATGGGAGTTCTGCAGATGCCTTAAGAAGAAACATTAAAGTACTCAGTATGAAGCAGGGGAGCTCCTCTCTCACACTATCAACAACACGCTTCCTATCTGTCTGTGCTGCCGCTACTGTTAAAGGCCCAAGAGGACAGTCATTGGTCAGGACATGTGTGATATTTGATGAGTACAACACACAGTAGTTAATATAGTGATTGGTATCAGTATTAACAGTCGATAACTAGTAATGGTTAATTTGATAGTTGATAAAGAGTTGGGTATATACACACACACACACACACACACACACACATTTTGTAGTCACTCGGAATCGAGTATGACGACCATCTAGCTATGATACAATGATATGAGTTATTAACGTGACTAAAGAGGCTGATACGGTACCGGCACATGTGGATGGCTGCGCGGGAGGGGTGGCGGCAACGTCTTTCCGGCGCTGGCGCTTGTCTGCCTTGGTTTGCAGTCGGGCTAACTCGAAAGTATTGACACCTTCTTGTGTGGTGATCCTCCAAGCATTACCGTGTGGAGTAATCGACTCCCAGGTGAGGGAGTCGATTTGGCACTTTTTCAGGTTTGTCTTAAGACTATCCTTTTACCTTTCAGTTGCCCGCCAGAGTTACGTTTACTATTCGTTAGGTGACTGTAAAGTAGCACTTTGGCAGTCTACTGTCGTCCATGTGGGTAACATGGCCAATCCAACGTAGTTGTTCATGGATTATGGTAGCCACAATGCTCCTACAGTTGGTGTCAGCGAGAATACTGGCATTTGTTCTCTTGTCTTCCCAGTGAACTCGGAGGATGGAACGTAGACTACTTGGAGAAACTTTTCAGGTGCCTTGAGGTGCCTCCTGTATGTGACCCATGTCTCGTTGCCATATAGCATGGTGGGGAGGACCACTGCTCACTATACGTGCTACTTTGTAGATAATTTCAGCTCCCTACAGCTCAAGACACGGGTACGGAGTCTGCCAAAGGCTTGAGATGCACATCTGATCCGATGTTGAACTTCTTCATCGATGTCTGGAGTGGTAGATAGGTGGGATCCTAGATACTGAAAGTGGGTAACATTAGAGAGGGTAGTATCATTAAGCTGGATGGATGGTGCAGGTGTGGCTGAACCAGGGGCAGGTTGAAAGAGAATCTGAGTCTTCGTACATTCACCTCAAGGCCGAAGTGTGCATACACATCTGCGTCGGTGTTCAGGATCTCCTGTAGGTCAATTTCAGTGTGAGCGACAAGGGTGAGGTCGTCTTTTTACTGAAGTTTACTTATGGAAGCTGCCGACACCTTTGTTCCTGCCTGGAGTCATCGTATGTTGAAAAGATCCTTCACCTGCTACTCGATGTTCACCCTGCCGACTAAATTGGTACTGGTACGAGTAAGGAAGGCAGTCAAGAAAATAGAAAAGAGAGTTGGCGCCAGAACACATCCTTGTTTTACCCCCATTTGGATGGGGAAGAACTCAGACTGGGTGCCATTGTGCAGGACACTGCCATTCATGCCATCGTGGAGTTGCCTCACAATGGCGATGAATTTTGGTGGGCAACCAAAACGGCTGAGGGTCCGCCAGAGGGCTTCCCTGTTTACTGAGTCAAAAGCCTTGATTAGGTTGATGAAAGCCATGGACAAGGCACAATGCTGTTCTCTGCACTTTTCCTGTATCTGGTGGGCAACAAAGATCATGTCAGTGGTGTCACGTGATGGTCTAAAGCCACATTGAGATTCTGGGAAGAACTTTTCTGCCTCAGGGATAATCTTGCCAGCTATGGACAGCAACGAGATCCCACCGTAGTTGCCACAGTCTGACCGGTCTCCCTTGTTCTTATAAATATTGACGATGTCATTGATGTCATCCTCTGCATCCAGTGTTAGGGCGTATGCACTGATGAAAAAGGCATAACGTGAGTAATTCAATGGAACTCTGAGCGTCATGAGGTGCTCATTGATCCCAATAGGCATTTCTCTTAGCCTGTGTAGGATGCGTTGGCAGATGGCAAAGCCAACTCTATAGATGCAGTTTCTTTCTGCAGCAGGCTTACCCTTCCAGAAGAAGGTATAGCTGCTATGCCAGCTCTGACGTATTGTATTAACACATACATAGACGTACTGTATTAACACAGACACTGACGTATTGTATTAACACATACATTGACGTACTATATTAACACATACATTGACGTATTATATTAACACATACATTGACGTACTGTATTAACACAGACACTGACGTATTGTATTTACACATACACTGACGTATTGTATTAACACATACATTGACGTACTATATTAACACATACATTGACGTATTATATTAACACATACATTGACGTACTATATTAACACATACACTGACGTATTGTATTAACACATACACTGACGTACTGTATTAACACAGACACTGACGTACTGTATTAACACATACACTGATGTACTGTATTAACACATACACTGACGTACTGTATTAACACATACACTGACGTACTGTATTAACACATACACTGACGTATTGTATTAACACAGACACTGACGTACTGTATTACCTAAGTTGAGTCGGCAGTCTTTGGTGTTTCGTTCTATCATGAGTCGCACCACAGGATAGATGGTGATAGATTTTAATTACAAATAAATACTGAAAAATTATATACATTTGACGATATAGTATTACAGTTTTTCGATATATGTGTGAGCTTTAGGTATGTCTGAGTGTATGCGTGGTCCTTGAGGATGTATATGTATGAGAATATGAATAAACATGTATGGAAATATGAATAAACATACATATGAGCGATTTCCCATTTATTTTAAGGTCATGTAAAGATTCATTCTGTCTATTCAACTTTTATTGGTGTTGTATTGTGTAAATATTATCATGTAAATTATAATAAAAATGGGACATCCTTAGCTGCCGTCTGTGTGTGTGTGTGTGTGTGTGTGTGTGTGTGTGTGTGTGTGTGTGTGTGTGTTTTCTAGACGCACAGCCGCATACATCTATTTGTGGCTATATAAAATATGCCTGTCCTTACACTATATTTTTGCTCGTTCACTATTTCTCGAGTCTTGTTGATGATGCATAACTTAATTACATTTACTAACTTTTTTTTTCAAACAAGAATGGTGTCATATTTTTTTTTTACTATTTTAATCACTTCACACAGCTGCTTATTATAACATTAAGTAATTCATAAGGATACGGGGCCTAGCGTGAGCATGTGGGGTGGTGTAGTTAGTGTACTTCTGTTTTATAAAGTTGGTGGTCATGAGAGCATGTGATTCACCAAGGCTGTTGAAGGTAGTTATCTTTAGCTTTATCTCTCTCTCTCTCTCTCTCTCTCTCTCTCTCTCTCTCTCTCTCATTACGCTACGACGGTACCAGACAGTTTCACGCCTTGGTGATTCCCATGCAGTGTTTGTATTGAATTTAGTGTTTTATTTCCACTGTGGTCTGAATGAGAGAGTCATTGAGAGAATTATGATCAAGTTATAAGTAAGTTTAAGTTTGCATGTCTGTAAAGCCAGTTATAAAAGTACTCCAGATTGCAAGTGCTTCACGTGCATCCAAGTCAACTTTATAGAGGCCGGAAATAACTAACACTATTCTCTGAGCAGCTCCTAGAAGCCAGCTCCTAGAAACGCATTGATTTATCTATAGTTACCTAGTATGCCATGTAGCCGTTAGTGCTGGGAATGTATAGCCATTGTCAAAGTTGTGTGTTGTGCCAGTCTCTCCATGCTCACTCACACACCACAACTTGTCTCCGTTAGTCACCTACATCTAGCAACTTGCAGATCCCCTACCACGGACTGAGACACATTTAAGTTAGAACACTAGATTTAATTGGCAGATCCACCTTAAAAAAAAAAAATTTAAATTATTTCATGCAATATAAATTCTCCCAAAATAACATTGAATGTATACAATAGACCCTTGAATACTTATATAGTAGTTCTGTGATATTAAACAACCATTACTAATTACACAAGATATATTTCATTGTTGATGTATTGTGTTTTAAAGTGACTACTGTAGCATAGTAGCTAAGGTTGTATACTAACTGTGGCTCTGTTACCTCAGGGCGCTTCCAAGTTGACGAAGGAGGACATTGAAAGGGTATTCGCGCTCTACGACAGAGTAAGTCTTATTTTAAGGTCAGTTGAAGACATTGATAAGGTACAGAGTAAGTCTTATTTTAGGGCCAGTCAGGTCCCTCCCTAAATACAGGAAACTACTTAAAGACTTTAGGACCGTTTAAAGAGCATTTGTACAGAGTCAAACCAGTGGATCACCTGAAGATTACACACCCCAGTTTACTTTACCAGATGTTTAAACACGATAACTTAACCTAATCTAACCTAACCTAACCCAGGTGAAGATTAAGCTGGTATAGGATGATCACAGGATTCTCACACTAATCCTTTCCTGGAAACAGATACTTTACCTACCAGCCAAAAGTAGGTTAGGTTAGATTACGTTGAGGTTTGGTTGGGTTAGATTAGATTAGGTTGAGGTTATGTTAAGTTAGGTAAGCATTAGGTTGGGTTAGGTTAGGTTAGATTAGGTTGAGGTTAGATTAGGGTGATTATTCTTAAGGTGACTATAAGCTGGGGTCTATTATTCAGGTAATCATCTGTGAGTCGGCATATTGATAGAATTTAGTCTACTTATTTATGTGTTGACGTAATTTGAACTGTTTATGTGTGAGAGAGAGAGAGAGAGAGAGAGAGAGAGAGAGAGAGAGAGAGAGAGAGAGAGGTAAATAAAAGATGGAAAGAAACAGAGAGAGAGAGAGAAGAAAGATAGATAGATAAATGCAGGTATAATAAAAACAAGAAAAAAGTGAACATTTTATAAAGAAAGACAAATTACACAATTATATAAACTGCTGAATAATTTTAATACACAAATATACACGTAGACTATACTGTAGATTATAGAAAAAATACAGACGTCATACAAGGGTTCCAATATTATGTATAGGTCAATACCCAGCAATAAACACAGGTATATATTTATCACAGGTGAATAAATTGTAATTAACTCTTACTATGTATCAACAGACAATTAGAACATTTATATTACTTTCTCTTCATAAATCTTTGATAAATTTATACAATATTGAAAAGCCATTACGGTAAAACATGAAATATTTATTATGTGTGTGTGTGTTCTATGTGTGTTTATGTTCTGTGTGTGTGTGTATGTTCTGTGCGTGTGTGTGCTATATGTGTGTGTGTGTGTGTGTGTGTGTGTGTGTTCTATATGTGTATGTTGTACATGTGTGTTTATGTTCTATGTGTGTGTATGTTTGTGTGTGTGTGTGTGTTCTAGGTGTGTGTGTTCTATGTGTGTGTGTTCTATATGTGTGTGTGTATTCTATGTAAATAATAATAATAATAATAATTAACGGTTTATTGAAAGAGCTTGGCAGCCAGAAGGCTGAAAATATACAGTTACATATTTGGGGAATGGGTTACGAATTACAAATAATATACAAGTGACATAAGTGACACAAATAAGACATATAGTAACTTAGATGGGGATCAGCTCAAAATACAGTTCATTTCAACATAGTGACAGTGTAGGGAGCAGTGTTTACTGGGAGTGAATACACTGATTTATTACATGTTATTGATAATTTTTACAATGGTTGGGACTGGGCTGTTCTTATAGCGATCAGTTCGTGCACGTATGGGCTGGATGCGGTTGTGGTGTCGAACAGCAATTCTCGGACAGGGGATCTCAGGTGTGTGTGTGCGTGTGCGACTGTGCGTGCGTAATAATAATAATAATAATAAACGGTTTATTAATAGAGTTGCAGCCGGTGGCTGAAAATTTACAAACTTACATGTAATTTAGACATAATGATATACGTTCAATATATTTACAGGGCTGTACAGTACATAAATCAGAAGCTGTTTATTATTTTAACAATAGATGGGATGGTGCTATTCTTATATCCATCAGTGAAGGCTCTTATGGGCTGAATTTTGTTGTAGTGGCGGACTGCGTGAGGTGTGTGTGTGTGTGTGTGTGTGTGTGTGTGTGGCGAATAGGGAAGCAACTTGCACAAGTCTTCCCCTGCCAGTACACAGCCTCTTCACCATCAAGACTCCTGCTGTGCCTCCTCGTGGCAACACCCGGTAACTGGGTGCCTCGTGGGCCCAGGCTAGATCAGCAGGGATCTCGGAGTAGCAGTGGGCCCCAGAGGGACGGCGCATAGGCCCACTGGCATGTGGACACGTCCTGGCGCCTACCAACCACCGCCCCGCTACCTTGCGGATTAACCTAGGCAGGTATAAGGCTACGGGAGTAAATCCCGAACGAAAAATCTACCGTGGAGCCCCGCATCAGGCAGACATGCTTACAGAGCTCCAACAAGACCCCAACGTCAGTGTAGGCGGAAGAGGTGACCACTATGGGAACCCAACGACTACACCGGCGTACGAAGACAATGCCTGATGGACAGGCTACTAAGGCAAAACCCAACAAACTGGGCTATCGGCAGTCCATTGCAACTCTCCCTCTCCCCATTCGTTGCAGCACTTGCACCACTGGATCAGGAAAAGGGAGAGCCAAGATGTGTGGTTGCAGCCTGCTCTCCTGCCTCACCACATAAATCAACTCACGGGCAGCCATCACCCAGCTCATCATACCTCTCATCATCATCAAAACCCCCTATACCCCCCAAAAGCCCTATGGCGACGGGGACAGGCAGAGATGACTGCCAGGAGTCTCTAATCACAACTCTGTACATGGGCGGCACAGATAAGGTGGTCGTTTATGCACTGGGAACTAGGCAGCAGTGCAATACGGTCCTGTCTGTGCGACTGAGCAGCCCTTACGAGGAGCCAGTCTGCTCACTCCACATGGGGAGGGTGCTAGAAAAGATGCACTAAACATAGCCTGCCTAAAACCCAACATGACTGGGCAACCGCACCCAGTAAGGTCATCCTTATGTGGTCGAAAACACAACCAAAATCACAGATCCAAACAAAAACAAACCATAAAACCTCTTTATGGTCGCTGCATGGAATGTCAAGACCCTTCTGGATACTGGCACAAATGAGCGTCCTGAAATAAGAACTGCCTTTGTGGCAAAAGAGCTGGCTTGGTATAACATCAACATAGCAGCCATCAGTGAGTCCCGGCTCCCAGATGAGGGCCAACTCACAGAACAGAGGTCTGGCTATACCTTCTTCTGCGGAGATAAACTGCATTTATGGAGTTGACTTTGCCCTCCGCCAATGCATCCTACACAGGGTAACTGAAATGCCTATTGGGATCAACGAGTGCCTCATGATGCTTCGAGTCCCACTGAATCACTCGAGTCATGCCTTCTTCATTAGTGCATACGCCCCAAACACTGGATGCAGAGGATGACATCAAGGAGGCCTTTTATGCCGACCTCGACAGAGTGCTAACCTCTATCCCCAGAGAAGACAAGGTTGTGCTTCTTGGAGACTTCAATGCCAGAGTTGGCAGAGATAAAATTTGGCAGGGAACCATACGGAGAAATGGACTGGGCAGGTGTAATCCCAAGGCCTACTCCTCAACAAGTTCAAGGGTTCGTGGCAACACCCACGATCCAAACACTGACATCTCATTGACTACATCATTGTCAGAGAAAGAGATCGCCGAGATGTCCTCATCACCCATGCCATGCATGGCTCAGACCACTGTGACACTGATCATCGACTGTCAGATCCAAGCTCTCACTTCACGTCGCCCCAAAACGGTGAAGGCAGCAAGCTTCCAGAAAAGGTTTTAAAACTAAGCGCCTGGAGGATCCAGCGGTAGCACATGCTTTCAGAGAGCAGCTCGAACATGGGCTTATAAACAACCCAACAGCAAACAACGTGAATCCAGTGCCGAATGGGATACTCTTAATACTGTTATGACAAAAACCTGTAGAGACCCTCGGCCAGACCAAAAGAATACACCAGGACTGGTTTGATGAAAATGACCCGGCAATCAAAGTACTTATCGATGATAAACGTGCTGCTTTTACTGACTGGCAGAACAACCCTTAGTCTCGGACCAAAGCTGATACCTTCCGCAAGAAGAAAGTTGTAGCCCAGTGGGAACTTTGCAATCTAAAGAACGACTGGTTTAAAGATAAAGCATGAGAAGCACAAAAACATGCAGATCAGCACAAGATGCGCGAATTTTTCATTTCCACAAAAACATTTTATGGGCCAGTCACTCGTGGCGCAGCCCCCCTCTGCTCATCTGACGATGAAGGCCTCTTTCAGCGCTGGAAAAAGCACTAACATTCATTGATCAACAAAAAACACCGATGTGGATGTTTTGTCTACCCAGCAGGTCCCTCAGCATCCAGAGCTGACCCACCTCAGCTATCCTCCATCCTTGGATTAGGTAGCTACTGCCATCAAACAGATGAAAAATAACACTGCCTCAGGTCCTGATGGAATCCCAGCTGAAGTGTATAAAGCAGGAGGATCTCTGCTTACTTGCAGTCTCCACTCTCTCCTGGAGAATATATGAGAAAAGAAGGAAATCCCCCAAGCTCTTAAAGATGCCTCCATTGTCAACATTAATAAGAAGAAGGGAGACCTGTCAGACTGTGGCCACTACCGTGAGATATCGCTGCTGTCCGTAGCTGGCAAGATTATCGCCTGAGTCATCCTAAACAGACTTCTTCCTGAAGTGGAAAACTTCCTCCCAGAATCTCAATGTGGTTTTAGACCATCACGTTGCACCACTGACATGATCTTTGCTGCCTGCCAGATACAGGAAAAGTGCAAAGAACAGCGTCGTGACCTGTACATGACTTTAATCGACCTAACCAAGGCCTTCGACTCGGCAAACAGGGAAGCTCTCTGGTGGACCCTCAGCCGTTTTGGCTGCCCACCAAAATTCATCGCCATTGTGAGGCAACTCCACGATGGCATGGACGGCAGTGTCCTGCACAATGGCACCCAGTCAGAATTCTTCCCCATCCAAACAGGGGTTAAACAAGGGTGTGTACTCTCTTTTCCATCTTCTTGGCTGCCTTCCTTACTCGTTCCAGTGCCAATTTAACCAGAGGGGTGAACATCGAGTACTGGGTGAAGGGGAGGGGGTCTTTTCAACATAAGACGCCTGCAGGCAAAAACAAATGTGTCTGCAGCTTTCATTACTGAACTTCATCTTTCAGACGACCTCACCCTTGTTGCTCACACTGAACATGACCTACAGAAGATCCTGAACACCTATGCAGACGCATGTGCACACTTCGGCCTTGAGATGAATGTACGTAAGACTCAGATTCTCTTTCAACCTTCACCTGTTTCAGACACACCTCCACCATCCATCCAGCTTAACGGTACTACCCTCTCTAATGTTGCCCACTTTCGGTATCTCGGCTCCCACCTGTCCAGCACCGCAGACATTGATGAAGAGATTCAGCGTCGGACCGGATGTGCATCTCAAGCCTTTGGCAGGCTCCTAAACCGTGTCTTCAGCTGTAGGGAGCTGAAATTATCTACAAAGCTGCACTTATATCGAGCAGTGGTCCTCCCCCCCCCCCCCTGCTATATGGCAGTGAGACATGGGTCACATACAGGAGGCACCTCAAGGCACTTGAAAAATTTCACCAATGTAGTCTACGTTCCATCCTCCGAGTTCGCTGTGAAGACAAGAGAACAAATGCCAGTATTCTTGCTGACACTAACTGTAGGAGCATCGAGGTTACCATTATCCATGAACAACTACGCCGGACTGGCCATGTTACCTGCATGAACGACAGTAGACTGCCAAAGCAGCTGCTTTACAGTCACCTAACGAATAGCAAACGTAATGCCGGCGGGCAATTGTAAAGTATGAGGATAGTCTTAAGACAAACCTGAAAAAGTGCCAAATGGACCCCCTCACCTGGGAGACGATTACTCCACACCGCAACGCTTGGACGAGCATCACACGAGAAGGTTTCAATACTTTCGAGTTAACATCGACCACAAACCGAGGCAAACAAGCGCCAATGCCGGAAAGACGCTGCCACAGCCCCTCCCGCAGTAGATCGAGCCCTCCACATGTACAACGAATGTGGACGACGCTGTGGGTCCCGTATCGGCCTCTTTAGTCACCTCAAAACTCACTAACCTAGGTGACATCCCTAATAACTCATATCATTGTATCATAGCTGGATGATCGTCATACTCGATTCCGAGTGACAGCAAAGTAGTAGTAGTAATGTGTGTGTGTGTTCTATATGTGTGTCCTGTGTGTGTGTGTTCTGTGTTTTGTTCTATGTGTGTTCTGTGTGTGTCAATGTACTCACAGTTACATGTATTCGCAGGACAATAACGGAACCATTGAGAACGAGGAACTTAATGGGTTCTTGAAGGACCTTTTGGAGTTGGTCAAGAAGGTGAGTCATTAACACACTCTTATTGACCTTAATCTTGGTCCTATTATGAATGGGGCCGATTAAGATTGGTTCTATTATAACTAGGGCCGATTAAGACTTGGTCCCATTATAACTGGGGCCTATTAAGACTTGGTCCCATTATAACTGGGGCCTATTAAGACTTGGTCCCATTATAACTGGGGCCTATTAAGACTTGGTCCCATTATAACTGGTGCCTATTAAGACTTGGTCCAATTATGCCTGGTGTCTATTATTGTTATGTAAAATAGACATCTATTAGGAGTAGGGCCTACTGTAGTGGCCACCAAGCAACCTAGATTTACAATTGATTCAATATGTATATAGACAATGCAGGTATACAGTTTAGTGACCTGTGGTGTAATGGTCAGCATGCGCGTCTCACAAGTGAGCGGACGCGGGTTCGATCCCCGGGCAGGGTGAAACTATAGGCATGTTACTTTTCGCCATTTGCCTCTGTCTACCCAGCAGTAATTGGTAACCTGGGTTTTAATCGATTTGAGGATCGTGTTCCGTGGTAATGGTTATCCAGTGCAGTTGGCGAGTTGTCCGGTCTTCTCGGACTATTCCTTGACACTGAGTCATGCAGCTCGTTAACTTAGGGTGTGGGTGTTGTGTTGGTGACAGCTTCTACACCTTAAACAAATTCATGCCGATGTTGCCCTTGGGCTGACCATCCTCGGACACGAGAGGCAACCATTAAAAAAAAAACAGCTAAGCAAGTATATATAGAGTTGCAGAAAAGATGTTTAGACAGACACACACAAACATATAGCCAGGCAGTTAGTAAGAGAGGAAAAATATATAGTTGAACAGATCCTCAAAGTGACCAAACTTAGTCCAACCGGTCCTAAACGATCACTCATTACCTACAGGACTACGATGCGCTGGACCTACAAGAATTCCAGGACGCCATTATGAGAGGCTGTGATTTCAACAAGGATGGCAAGATCAACAAGAAGGAACTCACCATGATCCTTCTCGCTCTCGCTAAACACGGCGCTGAGGACGACATGCAAACGTGAGGCTTCCTTAATCCTGATTATTGGTTTAATTTCTTTATTTCGTTATGCTTTACGATGTACAAGAAATAAACAACAAACCATGATGTTGTTTTGGTTTTAATTTTACTTCTTCTACATATCTCTCTCTCTCTCTCTCTCTCTCTCTCTCTCTCTCTCTCTCTCTCTCTCTCTCTCTCTCTCCTTCATTATTGTGAGAGAAAGTCCTGCACCCTGAATCCACCTCTTTCCTCCCTCACACACCCACTCCCTCACTACATACAGCACACACCCACTCCCTCCCTCTCCCTCCCCCTGTTGCTGCGACACCTCTTCCCTCCCTCTCCCCAGACACTCCTTCCCTCCCTCACACACTCCCTCCCTCCCTCACACTCTCTCCCTCCCTTACACACCCACTCCCTCACTAGCACACCCACTCCCTCACTAGCACACCCACTCACTCCCTCCCTCCCCCCAGACACTCCTTCCCTCCCTCCCCCCAGACACTCCTTCCCTCCCTCACACACACACACACACACACCCACACCCTCCTCTTTCCTCTTGACTTGTCCGAAATAGATTTCCTTGGTTATAAAATATTTAATTCTACATATTTTTTAATTTGTCTTTATACCCTTGTGTACTGGTCTATATGCCCTTGTGTACTGGTCTATATGCCCTTGTGTACTGGTCTATATACCCTTGTGTACTGGCCTATATGCCCTTGTGTACTGGTCTATATACCCTTGTGTACTGGCCTATATGCCCTTGTGTACTGGCCTATATACCCTTGTGCACTGGCCTATATACCCTTGTGTACTGGTCTATATACCCTTGTGTACTGGTCTATATGCCCTTGTGTACTGGTCTATATACCCTTGTGTACTGGCCTATATACCCTTGTGTATTGGTCTATATACCCTTGTGTACTGGTCTATATACCCTTGTGTACTGGTCTATATACCCTTGTGTACTGGTCTATATACCCTTGTGTACTGGTCTATATACCCTTGTGTACTGGTCTATATATCCTTGTGTACTGGTCTATATACCCTTGTGTACTGGTCTATATACCCTTGTGTACTGGTCTATATACCCTTGTGTACTGGTCTATATACCCTTGTGTACTGGTCTATATACCCTTGTGTACTGGTCTATATACCCTTGTGTACTGGTCTATATACCCTTGTGTACTGGTCTATATACCCTTGTGTACTGGTCTATATACCCTTGTGTACTGGTCTATATACCCTTGTGTACTGGTCTATATACCCTTGTGTACTGGTCTATATACCCTTGTGTACTGGTCTATATACCCTTGTGTACTGGTCTATATACCCTTGTGTACTGGTCTATATATCCTTGTGTACTGGTCTATATACCCTTGTGTACTGGTCTATATACCCTTGTGTACTGGTCTATATACCCTTGTGTACTGGTCTATATACCCTTGTGTACTGGTCTATATACCCTTGTGTACTGGTCTATATACCCTTGTGTACTGGTCTATATACCCTTGTGTACTGGTCTATATACCCTTGTGTACTGGTCTATATACCCTTGTGTACTGGTCTATATGCCCTTGTGTACTGGTCTATATACCCTTGTGTACTGGTCTATATACCCTTGTGTACTGGTCTATATACCCTTGTGTACTGGTCATGGGGGTGAGGGTGACACTTAAGGGTGAGGCTGACACTTGAGGGTGAGGCTGACACTTGAGGGTGAAGTTGACACTTGAGGGTGGGGTTGACACTTGAGGGTGAGGGTGACACTTGATGGTGAGGTTGACACTTGATGGTGAGGTTGACACTTGAGGGTGAGGGTGACACTTGATGGTGAGGTTGACACTTGAGGGTGAGTTTGGCACTTGAGGGTGACACTTGAGGGTGAGGTTGACACTTGAGGATGAGGGTGACACTTAAGGGTGAGGTTAACACTTGAGGGTGAGGGTGACACTTGAGGGTGAAGTTGACCGTTCAGAATGTGATCAAGCTTCACCCATTGTTTGCAGGGATAATATTTGTCTCTAGGAATGGCCAACCTTTCCTTCAGTTGACTTCACACTTTCACCCCTACAAGGACCTGCATGTGTATGGTCTTTCATTACTCTTTTGATATTTAGTTCATTCATTTTGCATTGTGGTTTTGCACTATATGTTTTTTTTTTAATACAGTTTTGCATATTATTAGCCTGGATATAATAATTCATAATTACACAATAATAATCCAATGTAGAATGATCCTACAGTAAATTATTTTTTTTCTTATTTTTTGTAGAATTTTCATAATTATGTTACATATTGATGACATGGAATTGATTATTTAACTTTATTAATGCAAGTGATGCTTTCTGCTGATGACTAAACCACTGCAAGTGCTTGGTGTTTTGTTTTATCAATGCAGTTTTGTTTTATTTCAAGAATGTGATTTTATTCATTTATCATGATAATCCTGATGCAGTTCTGGAGTGTTAAGGTGAGATAGGTGTACGTCTAGGAAGGTACAGGCCCCTTCACTAGTGCGTTTACAGAGGTTTGTCAAATAAACTTTCCACAAATCATTATTTTTTAGATATTTGTTTTAATATCGTTTCAATTTTATTCCATAGTATATTTACTATTGCGAGTTTCCTTCTGTTGAATGTAAACAAACACAGCGCTCCCACACTGCACCAAACCTGACGAGCCCCTGTAAACGCACTAGTGAAGGGACTGTTCACTTCTCTAGCGCCTCATCCAAGAAATAACATTTATGCACCTTTCATTTCATTTCTTGGTTGTTGAAACTAAATCAGTTTATTTTTATCTAAACAAATGGAAAGTTTATTTTTTATGCATCATTTACAATCACAGGAGAATAATTTATTTTCCTCTTGTGTCATATGTTGGAATTATTTAACGCATGATTTTTCTTCAGTTTCTTCTAAAAATGCCCCCAAAAAATCTGCCTTGCACCGCACACAGAAGCAACCAGAGTAAGTGCCTGTGTGTGTGTGTGTGTTGGTGTGTGTGTGTGTCCCCTAGCGCAGTGGGGAGAGTGTCATCCCCTATCACTGAATACCAGTAGATTAGGTTAAGTTTATTAAGGTTTACTTAGATTACAGTTGGTTAGGCTTTGGTTTGGTTAGGTTAACTTAGGTTTGGTTAGTTTAGTTTATTTAGTTAAGTTAATTTAGACTAGTTTAGGTTACGTTTGGTTATGTTATGTTACGTCAAGATAGGTTAGGTTAGGTTAGGTTAGGTTAGGTTAGGTTAGGTTATATCATGTTAGGTTATTTTATGTTAGGTTAAATCGTCGATCATCTCTTTGGGAATCGTCTAAGTGGCATGTAATCTCTGGCTGTAGTTGGGGGGGGTAGATAGGTGGGGGGGTAGATAGGTGGATGGGTAGGTGGATGGGTGGGTAGGTAGGTGGATGGGTAGGTAGGGTCCCTGTGTGAACCTGTAGGGATGAAAGCTTCAGTCATAGAGTGTAGTAAACATCTCCTGTAGCGTTGCCTAGTTGCATGTATTGGCAGTAGCATCGCCAATAACGTCTTCTCACTGTAGATATCTGTGGTAGCTTCCTGGGGTCTGTCAGCTCTGCACCCAAGCCTGTTGTAGGGTTTAAGCCAACTGGGTAATATTTATACCCATCTTGTCTAATTTCTCATGTATTACCCTTTGGTTGTATTTCAATCATAATGAGGAATATTTCCGTACTGTTTAACAATGTGGGATAATTATTAAACCCACATTTTATTTCATGCATAATTGGGTAATTTTAGTGACAATAACTTCATGTTTTACGCAGAAATTACTGTACTAAAGTGTCCTAATACTGTAATTATTTCACCACTAAAACGACTTTACCTTACCCTCTCTGTGTCGTGTGTCGGGTGAGTTACTCAATCATCACCCTTGTCATTATACTGTACTGTATAGCCTCTTGTTTACTGACAGGGTGTCTCATAAGTTGTGCGCCATTGGAATATTAATACTTTTTTTTTTTACCTTTTACTTGGAATAATCATAAAAAATCAACAATGATCGTGGAAAAAATAATTACAAAGAAATGAATCAGTTTTTTATTCATATATGGGGAGCCAGCTCCTACAGAACTGACTCAACAACACCTATATGTCTGAATGTTGTAAGTAAACTTGAGTATTTTGGAAGTATGTGTAGCATCTGGCTCTGTCAATCAGAGTACAGTACTGTACCGTCTTCATATCTGAGGGTTGTCGACCACAGTCTTCATATCTGAGGGTTGTCGACCACAGTCTTCATATCTGAGGGTTGTCGACCACAGTCTTCATATCTGAGGGTTGTCGACCACAGTCTTCATATTTGAGGGTTGTCGACCACAGTCTTCATATCTGAGGGTTGTCGACCACAGTCTTCATATCTGAGGGCTGTGAGGGCTGTCGACCACAGTCTTCATCATCTGAGGGTTGTCGACCACAGTCTTCATATCTGAGGGTTGTCGACCACAGTCTTCATATCTGAGGGTTGTCGACCACAGTCTTCATATCTGAGGGTTGTCGACCACAGTCTTCATATCTGAGGGTTCTCGACCACAGTCCTCCACTCTAAACGTTCTCGGGCTGTTCTTTATCACTCCTCTAAGGTTTTGTGTCTCTCTGGGGGCCCAGGTTTTAATTTCCTTCATCCATCCCAGTCTCCGCCTTCCCCTGGTCCTCCTACCCTCAACTTTGTCCATTAATATTTATGTTGTTATTCTCTCATCCATATTTATATGACCAAAGTATCTCATTTCTATTTTTCTGTACATTTTAAGTATTTCTCTTGAAGTTTTGGGTAACCTTAGTACTTCTTCATTTGTTTTCCTGTCAGTGTAACGTATTCTCAGCATTCGTCTATAGCACAACATTTAAAGGCTTCTGGTGTCTGCTGAAAGTGTCCAAGCTTCTGGCCCACACAACAGTCTTGACCATAATATCACTTTCAGCAGGTTTTTTTCCTCAAACTGAAGTTAGTGTCTCTTTTCATTAGGTCTTTTAGATTATTAACTGCTGGTTTTGCTTCCCCTATTCTTGTTTTGATTTCTCCCGTACATCTATCATCACAGCTAATGCTACTTTCCAAATACACCAAATTTTCCACTTGTTTAAGTTCCCTGTTGCCTCCTGTAATTTTTATTTTTAGGATTTATTTTCAACTTGGAATCAGAAATTACTTTCGTCTTTAAAGCATTAAATCTTAACACATATTCTTCTCTGTACATGAATATTTAATTGGGTTTTCCTCTCGTGTAAAATTATATGCCATGTTTTGATTTTAACACCTGAAAAAAAAAACAAGAAAAAATAATGTTAATTTTCCTATGGTGTGCGAACTATGAGTCACCCTGCACTAAACTCACTGTTTATTGGTTAGCTGTACTGTAATAGCCTGAGAGAGTGTTTTTGTTGACTACTGTATAGTACCTCTAGTGATGGTAGCTGTGTAAACATCCAACAGGTACATACACTACACTCAAGAGGTATTCTTAACATGTACACTCAACAGGTATTATTAACAGGTACACTCAAGAGGTACACTCAACAGGTATTCTTAAGAGGTACACTCACTCAACAGGTATTCTTAACAGGTACACTCAACAAGTATACTCAACAGGTACACTCAGCAAGTATACTCAAAGGTACACTCAACAGGTATTCTTAACAGGTATACTCAACAGGTATTCTTAACAGGTACACTCAACAAGTATTTTTAACAGTTACACTCTACAGGTAATATTAACAGGTACACTCAACAGGTATTCTTAACAGGTACACTCAAGAGACCATGTTAGCACTTAGAGTACAGTAGATGTGTCCACTAACCTGGTCTTCTCAACAGCGGGACAGGCATGGTCGCCAACAACCCCTTGGCAGAGATCGCGACCATCGGCATGAAGGCGCTCAAACTACAGAAACTCCGCGTCCGCCACTTTGTAAACCGTACCCTTGGCACCAACAGCACCAGTTAGTTACTTGAAGAATCACTCTAAATCTAAAAGAGGGGGCGAAGAAGAATGGAAAAGAAATAAGGTTACAAAGCCAGTGAGGATGAGGGACAAACCGAAGTATATACGAATGCGGTTGGAATAAGGACATTTTTTATTAGCATTTCAGGGTTGCCAGCTGAGGGGCATTTCTGGGTTTGGGGTTCAGTTTAGGAAGCATTTTTGTGTATGTTTGTGTCAGCCTCTGGTGATTTTTTTACGGCATTGACACCGTGCTTAAATGATGTCGCTCTTGAGAAGCTCCTCGTGTTTTCATCGTGGCATAATTCCATGAAATGTAATGATGCATAATTTTACTTCAATTCGGGAAGCTTGTTCACAAGGCAAAGTGAAAATGGTGATGAATATAGGAATGTTAGAAAAACGAGGTGATAATACTAGGGAATTATTCTTTAAGTTGAGCGAGAAAGTGACTTCTTCCCTCTACTACTCCAAGACTATATAAATTTTGTTCAGTCTGTCTGGCGGCAAGAACCCAGTGTTATATGGGACTGGCTTGGCTTGGTCCCACCTTTATATTCGCCAAGTATCAGGTTGTGAATATATTATTGGCCATTCTGTCAGTGTGGGAGATCTCCAGCTAGGCTCATATCTCTAGCATTTATACTTAGGAAAAGCCGAGTGAAAAGATCTCCCAAACTGACAAAAAAATATTCTTACTCCACCTGGATTGTGTTGTCACCTTGATCTAAGAAGACGACTATCACATTAACACATAATCATGTTATGCTAACCATGTTATCATTGTATTCTCAGTATTTAGTTGGGGTTTTCAACTCCTGCTTGAAGGCGTGATGTACTTGGGGATTGGGAAGTGTTCTCTGTCTGCGTCCATCCCTGTGGCCTCACCATTAGTTCAAGAGATAATACTGGACCCTTTGTCTGGGTGCTGATGCTATGGCCACCTTATTAGAGATTTTATTGTAAATAAAAATTTAAATGAAATATTAATTTGAAAAGGATATTTGGTTCTTTTAATTACTGTACACGGAAAATGTTTGAGCGAGTGATGAGAACCAGTGCGCCTGAGTCAGCATTTCAGGCAATAGATCTCGTTGAGCCAATGTCAGCGAGTTAACCTGGAAACGACTATTTCTTGGTTCTCTGTTACCTCGCCTCGTCCCGCCACTGATGATGGGCATCAGCCAGAGAAGACCTTCCAACCACTAAATCCATGCTTGCCAATTGTCAATTTATTCACATAATCTTTCGACATTGCCTTCCTCACAAGAAAGGTTGTGTATATATGTCCAGTCTTATTATAACGTGGTTACAGCTGAAGTTATATCATATTTTTAGCATTTACCTTAAAACTAAAGTCATAATCTGCTCATGTAACAAGGGTAAATTTTGGTTTCAACGATTTTAAACAAGATAATTGTTGGAAAATCAAATGGTTTTGGAAAATGAATTTATCTCAAATCAAAACTTGGGATGAAAACATTCGTCCTTGATCTTGATTTAGGTTATTCATTGGCACCAAAAGAACCCTGAAATTTGAATGTTTACCCTAAGCCTTACGTTATCTCACCTGTTTCTAAAGGGAGTAAAGAAAATTAAGAATATCATTTCATGGGGCAACTATATTGTCTTGACGCCATGTTATCTTCATACCTTGTTGCAATTGCATTTTTGCACGTTCTCTCCTGTAATTCTCTAATCTTCCAAACTTTTTGAAAAAGGTCTCCTGCGCTCCATATCCTATCAAGAATATCTTTATACGTATATGTTAAACTGTAATATTAAAAGCTTATTTTCTGAAGATCCATCAAACAGTGGAAATGGTAATAGCTGTTGTTATTCACGCCGGAAGACGGAGCAGACACGGAAATAGACTGTTTTCTGCTGTAGCTTGTAACGCAGGAGGACTACTTGCCAAGCACGGAGACCTGCGACAGCCCTTGTTGATACAGCTTTCATATAGTCCACTTCTCTACAGTGCTAAGATAAACCTTTACCTCAACGAACCAACTATATAACCTATGTATTTGTGACGATGGTCTCCTTGTTCAGGGTATGTGTCCTCCCCGCGTGATTGCTTCTGTGTCCTGTTCCAGCTTCGAGGTGCAGTATAGATGTTAAACAACGTTATGACGTGTAATGAAGTCTTTAGAAAGTCCCTCGACAACAACAATGAAATTAATGTACAGTGCATATACTTACAGACCTCCCAAGCCATAATAGTAATTAATGATAAATACGATATACCTAGATATTTTGAACCAAGGGCAGATGTGTCGTTACGGGCAACATTTCCCATATACAGTAATGAACTCGTAATGACTCTCACTAGATTTGGAATAGCTAGGTACTTTTTGTGCATGAACATTTTCGGTCATTTCTAAGTAATCGAGGACTGTAAGTAAGTACTTTTTCCAGCCAATGGTGATATGTGGCTGCACTTTCTTGTTACTTATGTCTGTGTTGTTCTAAAAACGTCGTGTGAATACTGAAAACAATAAAAAAAAAATGTGTCCCACGCTGACAGCAACGATGCCAGATGGTGGAGCAATAATGCAGCCCATCATTCGTAAGTCACACTTATGTTTGTCTTATTTTGGAATTTCCATTATATCTTAAAGAGTTATTTCCGAAAAACTGCGTCTGTACATACGTGTCGTTAGGTGTATATCATTACCAGAACCAGAATATAACCACCCAGTACGTTCTCAGTCTGGCACCGTCGCTAGGATCTGGCAACACTGTATGCTATTTGTGCATTTGTTATCGATTCAAACGTATAGTCCTGACGACATATTTTGCCTTTTGAAGTATGCTGGAACCCTATAAAAAAATATTACTCTAATAAATCATTGAGCACAAGCAGAATAAGCATTGCTGGGTCCTTGACTTGAATGGTTTAACTTCATTTACTGTAATACCAGTTTTCAATAACAAATAAAAGTCTTCTGTTACAGGTCTTCTTATTGAACCTCATATATGCATCAGCATTACTCTACAGGACAGATAGAGAGATATTTATTCAATTAAATAACCTTAAAAGTTTACAATTGAAATGCCTCATTTTGTTCACGCACCAACACAAACGGTTGAACAGGCTAACCTATAGTTTGATAAATATTTCCACGCGTTCCATCTCGGCACCACGCACAGAGCTAATGAATATATATATGTAAAATTATCGCCCAAGGAAAGTATATAAAGTAGTTTCCTTGGTGTCCTGGGGGGGGGGGTTGGGGTGAGCTGATTGGTGTTATAATCCGGCCCTGGCCGGGGTCAGGCAGGCAGGCTGGCTGGCTAGGTAGCGTGGACGCTAGCAGCGATGGAGTAGGCAGCAAGCAAGAAGGGGGGGTGACTGGGTAGCAGCTGGAATCACGGGTAGTCTGTGTAGGTCAGAGTTGGCGGTACAGGGTGTGTGTGAAAAGTCTTTCAATACGGTTGGTAAATTGTTTCTGATGTTTGGGCATCAAAATGATGTAATTTCAGTAGGTTTTGTGGCTATCCCCAAGGACAAGGCACTCGTACTGGCAGAATCGACTAGTGTTACTTACAACAAAGACAGTTGAAGCTTTCAACATCACTTAATGGAGGTTCCAGCTATAATCAGATAACCAAGTTGCCTTAACATATACCACCACTGTTGCAATTTCAAATTGCGTCGTTATACTAAGGAATAACGAAGTCACGGGTGCACTCCAAGACGGAAAGAAAACGGAGGACTCGGCAGACGTCCCGAAACGACGAGAAATCGGACGCCTCAGACGGGCGACACGTTAACCCACAAACCAGCCTCCGCTTTCATTCTCCTTCTGTACTTCCCACTTAACTATTCCTTGGCCGAAATATCCTCGTTCACCCACTGTTTTTTCAATGCAAATTTTCCTCAATTTCAAAGCCTTTCCCATGTTAAACAAGTAAAAAGCAATTTTATATATTAAAACTAATATGCATTGTGGCGGAATTGCAATAGAAGACAAGGGTTTTGTGATTATCCAAACAACAAATTCCAAATCTTAAATTAACTACATGACCAGACCTATAATTTTTCCCTAATTTCGACTGAACATTGGTCGTTTAATTGAAAGACTCGGGTCAATATTTAGATGGAAGTTCAAATTTTGATTTATAGGTTAGATTTTCAAATATCTTGTTTGGAAATGAGTATTTTACCACTTGTGGTGTTTTCAGACAATACAAAGATTAGTTTAAACCAGTGAAGATCGAACTACAGTAGAGGGTGTGGGGTTCAGGATGTTTGGTTCACACTCAGGATGGAATGGAGAAAGGAAACTCACTATGTGCTCTCATGTATACATGTTGTATTGGATGTACAATGCAGCTTGGTGCTGGGAAGTGGCAGCGTGGTTACAAGCGTGATGTAGAGAGAGCTGGTTGGTGAGGACGCTCAGAGGAGGACCAGCTTGTGGGTCGCCATGCTCGCCGGAGGGAGCGAGGACCGCCAGGCAGGCGGAGGTGGTGGTGTTGCTGGCTGGTTGGTGTAGGTAGGAGATAGGTGGTGATGATAATGGAGATCAAATGGCAATGGCTTGCCACGGGAAGGGAGAGAAGATGTAAGGTAGAAGTAAAGTTATGAAACGGGAAGTAAAGTAGTAGAGAATAAGAGCAGGTGGGCTATCCACCTAGCAGAGACGATTTGATTGGCTGTGGTGAAGGTCGCACTAAGAGGTCGCCTGAGCTCAAGGAAACAGGGGAGAGGGGGGAGGAGGAGGCTAAGCTAGCTAGCAAGGGGGTGTTTGTTATTGTGTTAGTTGGAGAGGTCTACTAGGTCCTTGTGTAACTAGTAGAAAACGCATCTTGTGTAGTATTTAGTGTACAATAGTTGTGGCTCTTGAGGGTTATGGAGAAGGCTTTTTGGCCACCAGCTGTGTGATCTTGTGGTGTCCTGTTTTTAGTCGATTACATATTTCGTCTTCCAGTTTGTGCTTGGCTGTATGTTCTTGTGTTTAGTGGTAAAATGTTGTATTTTTCGTGAAGCTTTTTAATTTTGGTTGTGTATGGGGGCTCTGCGGATGGCTTTGTTTTGTGTTAACTGGAGTTTTAATTGGGCGGCGCTGGTTGACCTAGACCACGAGGAACACACTGGAATTCGTGGGGTCGGCTACGCAGCTAGAAACAGCGTTTGTAAGGGAGAAATCCACTGCAAGGGTATTCGTTTTTTGCCCATTCTGGATACGAGAAAGGGCATTTTAAACTAGTGGGAAGTATAAACCAGCACATTAATTTCGTCATTTGTCTATTGGTTATGTTGTGAAAGCGTAAACATATTTAAAGAAGAATCGAGCGGTATTTCCCAAGAGGTGAAAGCGTTTAATATCATAAAGTACAGCACGTATTTTCATGACAAAGCATACGTACTCCAGGTTTTGATTCAGTAAAAGCAAGGAATTAATTCCATAAAATATAACGGGGATAGTTTTATTGGTTACATACATTGTACATTCAATGTGTACTCAACCCGTACACATTGGAGTTTACATGCACCTGGACACAAGTTACCACACACAAATGGAGTGTGGGATGGTTGAAGAAATAACAAAGATGCTGGAATCCATATTTTTGAAGAGACAAATTGCTTGTAGTTTAACAGTTACAAAGAAACGAGAATCTCCTTACAAGTTGTGGGAAGAATCCACCTCCCACTAACCGCGATAATGCTCGAGTAGGCAAATAATTTTTCTGAGAGTGTTCTCCAGCAACAGTTAAAAGACCAAGACAACTTTTGTAGAATCTCCAATTGTTTTGATGGGGTACAGGTTACACTGCAGCTTCCTCGGTCAACTCGTATGGTCTTCCGTTCGTCTAACGAGTGTGTTCTAGAGATCAAATAAAAAGCAAGAAGATAAATGTATTTTCATCCTGATGGAATGGTCTAACACAAGACTTAATTAAAAGGTTTAGTTTTGTTAATATACAAAGACTAATAAAATTCACCATTTTTGTCAAGCGAAAGTTCAAACTAAGGATTCCTATTCACGAACAAATAATTTATAAGCAAATATTTCAAAACACACTTACAATATTGAGCAGAGTTTAACTCTACAGTAGATGTTGTATCGTCGTCGGGCACCATCAGTGTTCTGAATTCATGGCCATCTACCGGGCTTTATATACAGGCGGCCCATATTCCGTGACCAATCAGAAGCTGTTTTTATACGTAAGGTTACGTTTTAGCCAATGGAAGCATGACCTTCTTATGACGTCAAGGGCGCACCATGCCGGAGCGAATCATTTGAACGCCGTCAGGTTTGTCATCCCGGATGTGACAAATGGCTGTTTGATGACGCGTAAACGATTGAAGGTTTATTGTGACATTAAAGAAGTGTATAACGTGAAGAAAAATATTATGAAATCGTATTCGCTGTTTTATTTATGTTGTTAGAAATTGTGAATGTATTAAATGATTTAGAACAGCAATATTGGCCTCACTTTAAGTGTCCGACCATTGTTAAGAGACCTATACATGATATTAGTATTATTGTAATATAAAAAAGTCCTAAAATGAAACACAATAGCATAAAAATGTTAATATGACGACTAAAATAAGATAGAAAGTACATTGATAAAGAGAGAAAAACAATGAAGCATTGAGTTGTTATTAACATTTACTTCAAATGAAGCATACAGCAGAAACACTAAAACTAACAAAAGCTTTAAAGTCCTACAGGTTAGTGTACAAAGATACATATATGTTACAAGAACAAAAGCTACACATTAAAGGAAAGTAGAATAATGAAGTAGAGTCGTGAGTGCTGCTTGTACTCGGGGGATGAATATAATCTACTTCCCCCGAGGAGAGTCAATTACATCGGGTATAGTTTATAGTCATACTGCTTAGAGAGATATTTACTGGTAAAGGTGAAACACGTACAATGATTTATTTGGTGAGGCCTCAACCAATACCTCACACGTACAGGAGAGTAAATGTGGTACCTGATAATATACATATGAGAATGTTACCACTATTTTAATTTTTTTTTTTTTACATTGTTATAATTAAGTTATAAATATATACGTTTTATGGTAATGTGTAAAGATTACTCGGGTCGTGACTTTATTAAATTCACCGTTCGTAGTTGTCACCAAGGAATGGAGATGTGAGTGAGCGTAGTGTATGTTGTTATTTGTGAATGAAATTTTATAAGAACATAAGAACATAAGAAAGTGGGATACTGCAGGAGGCCGACTGGCCCATACAGGGCAGATCCCTTTCACACCCATCCCAGCACTTCCATGTGCCTATCCAACTTCGTCTTGAAGCTCCGTAGCGTCCCCGATCCTACGATAGCACTCGGTAGCCTATTCCACATATCCACAACTCTATTACCAAACCAGTGCTTGCCTATATCCTTTCTTAATCGGAATTTATCTAATTTAAAGCCATTTGTTCAAGTTATTTCGTTATTACTGAGCTTCAGAACATCTTCCATTTTACCTTTGTTAATCCCGCTTACCCACTTGAACACCTCTATCTTTCAAGATAACGTCAGCAGTTCTGTTACTCACACTCCTAGATATGAACCCAAGAATCCTGTTTGCCTTGTTGCGAACGCTAATACATTGTTTTCTAGTTTTCAAGTCGTTGCCAACAAATACACCTAGATCTTTTTCACAATCTGAGTTTTCTATTTCCGTGTTACCTAGTTTATACTTAACGTTTGTATTCATCTTCCCTATCTGTAGTACCTTGCATTTATCAGCATTAAAATTCATTTGCCAGTCTACTGACCACTTATGTAAGGTATCTAGATCTCTATGATACTGTCTGTGTAGGCTGTGAGTTGGTATCAATCCAAATTTTTTCGTTCGTTTGGTTATCACAAATTCTCTGGTGTTGTTGGGTGTAAATACCCAAGAGCAGTTTATGTCGGATAATCCCCTCGTTTGGTTGTGACGGTGTTTACCGGAGAAGAAGTTCGGGGTCCCGGGGATTCGGAAAGCACGAATGTAGCGGTTTTGAGCTGGAGAAATTTGGACTATATTTCATGAAATGGACTTTGTTGGACTTTGTTTGAATAATGTTGAAGATTACAGCAGAGATTTAAATGTATCCTTGTATTTTGACGCCAAGGTGAAGACTAAAATGGTGAAAATTTGAAGTTATTCGAATGAGCGGATTCAGTGAGCAGTGAGCGACTAATTTGAGGGTTGAGCAGCGAGTCGGCGGGAAGGTGGGGTATTTAAAGGGTGAAGCAGCTAGGATGGATCAGTTACAATCGGCTTCTTGTGTCTGGTGGTAGAACTCGTGTATAGCTATATAAGAAAGTGTAGTTTGTGAAGAAGAAAAGAAAAGAAAAGTTTATAAAGTTGTGTTTAGACATTTGTTCGTTCGGCTGTTAGTGGTCTTTAATACAAGTGATATATGTGTTTGACTTGAGGTCTGTGAAACATATTTAAGATTTCAGTCTGTGGTTAACTAGGGAGCTTTTGAAGGTGTTCATAATTCAAGTACTTAGAGTACAGAATATTTGTGTTGAATACGGTAGTTTAATTAAAATAAAACCCTTTTAAGTGTATATCGTGCTAAGTGTTTTAAAAAGTTGAAGTGTTAATAGTGTATCTAATGAAATTGGCGGATTATGTTGTGTTTTATCAAGAAAGCGTGTTGTCATTTCGTTGATAAGTGACGGAAAGTGAATTCATGAGCATCCAGAATGTGTTGCAACTTTGTTATTGAAATACTCTCTCGAGCTGAAGTTGTTTGGATGCGAACTTCAATGCAGTTCTAAGTGATGGTGGTGGAATCTTGAAAATCGGTAAAAAGAAAAAAAAATGTACAGCATTTATGTGTACCTTGAGCTTGGACAGTTTATAGTGATAAGTGCTCGTGGTGGAATCTTGAAAATGAGTGAGAAGAAAAAAAAAGATGCTGCATTTGTGTGTGAAATAGTAAAATATACTGGTTTGTTTTGATGCGTATAGTATAAAATTGAAGGTGTTGTGTATATAGTGCTCCCATGAACCGGAGAAGTGGGAAAATAAACTAATTCTCTCGACAGCGACCGGAGGTAAACGAGGGGTGAGGGCAGGTAAGTGACTATGGATATTGAGTTTTTTAGTGAGGTAAAGATAGGGATTTGACATGAATAACAATATTGACATGGGTGACGCAATTGATAGCCTGCTTTGAGTGGTACTTGATGTAGTGTTGAATACGAGACGACATGGTGTTTCGATTACAAGTACCTTTTGAGTAATATTTGATTAGGTAAGTTGTATTTTAGTTGATGTGCAGTGCGTATTGTGAAGGAAGCGTTCGAATGTGGGTTATTAGCGTGAAACGAGTGTTGATAATGACTTGATAGCAGTTATATAATCATTGGAATGGTCACGTGACAGTAGTTTGGGAAAATAAATATTGTGACAATGTATAGGTTTTGACTTGTAAGAAAGGAGCGTAGTGTGAATTTTTCTCATTAAAAAAATTTATCGGCGGTGGGAAGATGGCAAATGATTCCCCTCGGGTTAAAATGTAAATTAGTGCTATGTTGAAAACTAGACTGCCAACGCCTTATAAATTTTGCAGTATAGTTGTTAACACAGTAAGTGGCTGAGTTTTTAATAATTTTTTCGTACATTTGCTATAATTAGGAGTGTCAACTATAAAAGGATGAAGTTAGTTTTAGGAAATTTGTATGGAAAATAAGCGGCTTAAAGTCGTAGGTTTTGAATGTACAGTGGGCTAAAGATGCATCGACCCGACCCTGGGACTCTTTCTCGCAATTTTACCCGTCAGTACTCAGTGAGGGAAGGCTGTATGTAAAGGTGACTGTGATTGGTGGATCTGTTTTCGGTTGTATCACTGTTAGGATAATTATTAAAGAAACGAAAAGTAGAATTTTGATAATAAAATAATCATTGTTATTTAAGGTCGTGAGAAGCTAAAGAAAAAGATGTTCGTATATTTGCTTAAATAATGAAGAAAATGTTGTTAATGAGTATTTTGTAGTTGTTGGTATAAAATGTATTTTTTTGTTTAAGATTCTACCAACGGCAAGGAAGCCGCAGTGGACTGGCGCATGAGCATTAAGTTGGAGCCAATTAGCGTGGGAAAAGGTTGATTTCTGCAGAGACGTGACCGGCACAGAGGTAGACTTAGAGTTTAGGTATCGGTAAGGTGAATGAAAATCGTGAATAGGTGTTGTGTGTGCTGTTATATACTGGAGGCTATATAATGGTACTACACTCTTGGTTGTGTGTGTTTACGGTAGTATGAAGTTGTCGTAGATTTAGGCGAGGTGAGGTGGTCGTGTGCCGTGTTATGGTTGGCACATTGTTAGTTGTATACGCAGATTAGAGTCTTCTTAATTATATTGTGTTTGTGCTTTTGTTCCAGGTTCAGCGGTAAGTACTGTTGGCTGAAATTATTTGTTTATTATGGTATATGTGCATTCATTGTAATTTGATATTAATTGCTGTGGGAAAGTCCTTTTTGACTTCTTCCCCCTCCCATAGAAGGTAATATAACGTAAAAATAGTAGTTAAATTTGGTTACTCGAAGATGGGTTTTGAGAAAGTGATTGTTTGGTTTACCTTTGACTTTTATTGCAGGTGTATGGAAAACTAATGGCGTATACTGTGGAATACAGAAGAGAACGTGGCAGAAGTTTTGAGGTGGAGCCTAGCGCGTGTATTGTACACTTGGGGTGACGAATGTGTGAATACGGTATTTAAAATGGAAGGTGTTGGTGATACTGGAGTGGTTTTTGACTTGTGTGAAGTCGCAATTATAGTTGTAGCTGTAATATGAAATTTGATAAGTGGTTCATGGCTAATATATTTGTATTGACAATTAGTTTAAGTTTTATACGTCGGGTAATAATTCGTTTTTTCAGGATGATGTTGGAGGTGGAAGGAGCAGTTATTGTGTGAGGTAGATTAGGGGAATAGTGATGGGTAAGTGACTTTGAAGTTTATGAAATTTTAAATGTATTTTTGTTCTTGTGCCGTAGAGTAATAGAAAGGTTAAAAGTTTTTTATTAAAATAAATGGTTGTGGCTTGAGTTTGGTAATGTTAAGTTTAAAATGTTGAATTTTGTGCCTCGGCTGTAAATTAAAGAAAATGTAA